AAAAAAGTTGGTTTGGTCCCCCCACACCCCCTTGCCCCAAAAGTTGAGTTTTCCTTCTCCTCTCTCCTCTCTACCCTGCTCTCCCCCTCTCCCTTTTCCAAACCTCTTCTCTCTGGAAATTGAACTTAGGACCTGTTGCTTGCCAGTCAGGTGCTGTGTGGCTAAGCTATATCCCCAGCAAAAGTTGGGTTTTAAAAGACAAGTAATCATCATGAGGGAGGTGAGGGATAAGTGAGAATTTAAAAATGCTAGAAGAGATTATTTATAAAAAGAAGTTTAAATTAATCCACAGTTTTCCTCAAGGAAATGTAAGTTTAAATAGTAACCAAGTCCATTGGTTCTTGCTAACTGTTATTTAAACTAATTTGTTCTTGCTGAAACTATTAACTCAGATTAACGTCCACCTACTAAAATTTTATTAAGATTTTAATCAGAAGGCTAAAACTATATTTTCTGAATTGGCTGGCTGTTGTTAATGGCTTTATGGCTCTTTAAGACACCTAAGTTTAAAAAAAAAGACACAAGTTTAGGGATGGCAAGGGGAATTGGATGCTGTGCAACTGTAGAAATCGAAACGTGTACTTGCCAGTGAAGGCTGTAACCTGTTTCGGACATACATTGAGAAAGAGAAAGGAGGAAGAGTACAGAACCTTATTCTGTAAAAGGAGAGTTTATATAGTGTCTGGCACGAGTCAAGCTTTTGAGATGAAGAAAATGAATTTTTGTTTGTAGGTGGGTTGAGAAACAAAACCACTGACAGCCTTTTCCTTTTTACTTTAATTGATTGTTTGAAATATGAAGTATTTTACAGCGTGGGATATTAAATTCAAAGTAGTGCCTGATAAAATCAGGGTTTGAACACTGGGGATGGGAATGTGGGAACTGGCAAAGTACCCGCTCCTGGACACAAGCTGGGAAGGGGTTGTTTCCGTGGCGCCGGCTGCAGTGGGAGGAACACAGGCACTGAGTCAAAGTAACCTGGTCTCAACCCCGCTGCTCCGCAGCTCGTTCAGGTTCCCAGCCTGGCCGCAGCCACAGTCCTCTGTTGAGCCTTAGCAGTTCTACTGCCCTGTTGATTCTGAGTTTAAATAACAAAACGAATTTAAAATCCCCGGCAGTATGTCTGCCTCATGGTAGATACTTAACTTCTTAGCTCCTCATTCATCTCTCATTTGATTTTTTTTTATGGCCAGCTTTTAGAGTCCATCATAATCACATAGAAGCCTTATTGTGAGCCAGATCATCTTAGTGAGTTGGATCAAGTGAAGTGGCACATAAAATAGTTTGTGAAAGATTTAAAGTAACAGTTGATACTTTTAAATGCAATCCTGTGATAGTTTTTTGTTTTTTTTTTTTTAACAAGGAAACATCTGGCTGCTTCTTTATTCATCCAGTTAATATTTATTGGCTATTTATTGTGTTAGGTCTTGTATAACATGGGAGACCAAGTAATGGACAGATGATCCTTATACAGTACACCATAGTTGGTGTTGGGCTATGGGAAATCACAGGGTGTTGTGCAAAGAGAGTTTGACATTGTGTATCAGTGTTTTAAAAATGTGTGTCCTCTCTTAGCAGTTGATCCGCGTCTAGGAATATAACTAGGAAAGCTCAGTAAAGTATTGCTTATGTTAATGAAAAATTAGTAATTGAAAATGTATTACAATAGTGAATTGTTTAATTGATACATCAGTAAATTGGTATATTACATATCTATCAGTGCTCATACATCTGTATCATATATTTTCCCTTAGGAGAATACGTTACCAGAAAGGGTTAAAGTGAAGACAGTTTATTTTGAAAACACTTAGTTGAGGAAAACCCCTGAAATCCTTTCCAAATTACTTCTGTGTATTCTGTTTTGAAAGAAATCATTCTGAAAGATACATTATTGTCATCATCTGTAAGAAGATAGGAATGTGAGCTAATAAGCATCTTGCCAAATCCAGTATTACATCTGAGAGATAAACAGGCACACTGCAGGCACAGTTTTGAAGAGCGACTAGCCAGGGTGTAGCTCCAGAGAGGCAGCTGTCAGAGAGTGGGACTTGGCAGCAGGAAGGCAGGGCTCTTTCATGGTACTCGCAATCTTTTGAGCTACTTTTTGTAGTAAGATTACTCTGTGGAAAGTCGTCCTGAGAACAGTGGTGGAGACAAGGTGCAGTGAGAACTGGGCAGCCTTTCTGCACTGGCCTTCAGGTTAGGCAGCACCCTTGGGCTACTTTCTGTCTCGTGAAAACCTCTCATTTCTCGTTACTAAAGGATTTGTGAGTAACATTGTTGAGAAATTATTTTTCTTCCCAGCTGATAGTAGTCTTATTACAGGTTTTTGCTTAGGTTTTACAAACAGTAGTTTAGGAAAATCTTTATTCATCTAAAGCTCTCAAACTCACAACTTTATACAAAGGTTTACACATTTGGGTATACCATTAGCAGCATTAATTTATAAAGACGGACAGTTACTCCTGTTTTTTCTCATGTATTCACGTAAAGTGAATGTTCTTAGAGAGTTCTAGTTTTCTCATTTCTATGAGAATTGTACCAGAAAGAAGTGAGCAGACTGTCACTGTGTCTGGATCAGATAGAGGGGCTATTTTTGGACCTTTCTCTTTCAGCTTTTCAGTGTACCGTACAGAGAGACAGTCTCTCTGCCTCATGTTTTGTTCACTTCTTCACATGTAGTATAAATCTATACCCCTTTTGTCTCTGGAACAGACTTCTGGGATCCTCTGTCCATCCTTCCACCCTCTCTTCTTGAGTGTAAGCAGAAGTTGGATGTAGAATAAAAAATAGTGCAAGAGAGTATGGCTATGACACAAATAAGTACCAGGTCCATGAGGGAGAGAGAAGTTTTACTTAGTGACCCTTTGTTTAAACGAGGGATATACCTTTCATTTGTCTTTAGTTATTTTGCTGAATGCCCATGTGCCTAATATTTTGCTATCTTACTTAATCACATTATCCTGAGAGTTTTGAATAACCACCTTCCATATGCCAAGTAAACAGTCCAGGCAGGATTGTAATCCAGGTCTAATGCTACTGTGTGTCGCAAAAACTGCTAACTTGGGTGTGGGAGTTTGAAAACTCTTAGCACTAGATTTCTGGTGAACTGTATTAACTGTCTTGGTCTTTGTTTGCTTTGTAAGGTGAGAATATTGAAGTAAATCTTCAAAGTTTTCTTGTAAAAATGTGTGATTCTTTGGTTCTTTTTTTAATTCAAGCAGAGAATGTATAATGTGTACTAATATTCTGTGAGCAACCACTTTGGTTTATAATGAATACTGTTAGTCTATAGATTTTATGACATTGTTGTTCTGCAGTGCTGTTAAACAAAAAAAGCATATTGGGGAGCATAGGTTAAAAGAAGGTGAGTCCTGTCAACTGTTGGTTCACAAAACATGAAGAAAAGTATGCGAGCATCGAAGGAACATGGCAGGCATGGGCCGGAGATTGCATGGGTGGGGCTTGGCAGTGTCTTTAGACACCAGCACCATTTATGTCAAAAGATTACTGTGTTTGAGTCAAATCAGTTGCTCTTTTCCGTGTGTGTGTGTGTGTGTGTGTGTGTGTGTGTGTGTGTGTGTGTGAGAGAGAGAGAGAGAGAATTGGACTAGGTGGTGCAACAGTGACTCCATTATAGTTCTTTTAAGGCCTTATAACATTTCCAGTTAAATGATAGAGAAATTGTTACAGGAGAAACAGTGATCATTGATTTTATATATATATATACGAATGACATAAAAATAGCATAATTGTATTTTTTATTCAATTTATACAGTACCTTGTTCTTAAAGGTACTGCACAAATAGCATTGAGATAATAGGCCATTTTAAAATGTCAAAACTTTGAAGAATAAGTAGGTAGGAGAAATAAATACACAGAAACATAGCGGCAGAGTCTTATATCACTGCCTGCATAGCAGGTGGGAGACAGCTGAATTCATTGCACTCCCCAGTGCTACTGAAAATGGGTGAGGGCTTGGCACCTTCTTGGGTGTGGTGTCCTACTTACCGTTCTCCATTCTGTGGTTATGATTGAAGACAGTGAGTTTTGTTGTCAAGTGACCTTTCCTTGCTGTTAACTTGGAGCAGATTACTTAAACTTTCTAAACATCAGATTCCATTTTGATAAAATAGTATTATTTATACCTGCCTTGTTAATTTTTCTGAGGATTAATATAAATGAATTATATACTTAAAACATTTACTTCAGTGCTTGGCATATGGTTAATGTATCATAAATGCTGTTTTTATCCTCAGAATATGTCAAAGCATAATGATGCTGATGAGGTTATAGAGCATGGTAGTAGTGCTTTTCTGGTTCAGAAAACAACACTGTGTGGAGTTCTAAAGATCATCTTTTATTTCTTAAAATTGATGAAGTATAATCCGTACTTCATAAAGTAGCATTAGATTTTTAAATGAAACATCCAGGGACCATAGGGAATACTCATATTTGTATAGCCATCAGTTTAAGAAATAAAACAATTACAGAGTAAACCATTTTTGTTTTTAGTATGTTTCTTATAAACTGAGTACAATTGAATGTTATTTAATCTCAGTTTTCTGCCTCTGCTGATAAATTTAGATTGTTCACATTTACAATCATTACCAGTACCTTATTTCTACCATCTTATCTGTATTTTCTGCTTGCTTGTTTCTTTTACTGTCATTTTCCTTCTGATCTGTCTTCAATTGATCTGAACAACTTTTCTTTTTTCCTTGTATGGATTACCCTTGAATTTTTAACATGTACCCTTGGCTTTTCAGAGTCTAATATTAAATTCAATATGTCTGCCTTTCTTCTGAACAATAAAAAGACTTTGGAAAACTTTAATTCTCATCACGCTTTACCAATATTTGTTTTTGACCAGTATTTTGCTTTTGTGCTTTTTTAGTCATCCAAATTAGTCTTTATGATTGCTGTTGTTGAGTTTAATTTTATGGCAACTTACATTGTCTTTTAATATCCAGAAAACTGGTTTTCTTATTCCTTCTCAGATTTTCAAAAGAAACAACCAGACGATGATTCCACTCCAAGTACAAGTAACAGCCAATCAGATTTGTTTTCCGAAGAGACCACCAGTGACAACAACAATACCTCCATAACCACGCCAACTCTAAGTCCCAGCCAGCAGCCGCTTCCGACAGAACTGAATGTAACTTCACCCAGTAAAGAGGAATGTAAGTGCCTGGATCATGAGAGATGGCAAGGAGAACAGCCCAGGAGCCAAGCTATGAGCTTCTTGGTTATGTCTAACTCCAGGGAAAGCAGCAGTTTTTTAGATTTGAGATAAGTACTGTATTCACATACAGGACTCATTCAGCAAGTTAGAAAATAATTTCCAGCCATTTCATAGGGTATAAGCTCTTCTCAGGAGATATGTTTTTACATTACCTGCCTAGATACATGAAGTTTTAATCCATTCTATAGCAGTGACTCTCTACTCTGACTGCACATTAGAGGGGTAATCTTTAGCACTGTTCCCTGATTCTGATTTAATTGGGCTAAAGGGAAGCCAAGGAATCTGTTCTTTCCAGCTCTGCAGGAAATTTGCTGTGCAGTAAGGGTTTCAAATCACTGATCTAGAGAACCTTAACCCTGTCCAAAGAGCCTTGGATTGAAAATGTGCCCAGTCACTATCTGGACTTGGAGTGTTTCTGAGCATTTAATTTAGACGATAATGCTGCGTGTGTCTTAGAAAACATGCTAATTGAAGGGAGTAAGAGATTGTTTCTATTACTCTGCTGTACGTCTTCAGTGGTGGAATTCTGTTCACATGTTTTGGAAGTTCATTGGCTACTTAAACTTTATAAGGCTTTGACTGTCTCTTTTTGGAACACAACAGTAATAAGAGTATTTGTTGAAAAGTACAAGATGACAGGAATTTTTGCCTTTAAATAGCTTTACTTAAGAGTGGAATTTAGTGATCCAAGTTTAATGAATATCTAGAAATGTGATGTTAGAATATTCTGTCTGTAGTTTTAGAATGATTAGTTGAAAACAATATTTATTTAAATCTTTTATAATCTGTATTCGGTTATAGTAAGAATATAAAATAAAGGTCATGGTCCTTGTCTTTAAAGAATTTACTATTTATCAAAGCAAATGAAATAATATTTGTGACATTACATAAGAGGCTACCAACCAGGCGTGAATATTTGCTAATGTGTGGAGAGCAAGGAGACTGTTAAACATCCTACATTATATAGTATGCTTTCCACATTCCTACCTGACTTGAGGTTTAGGAACTCTGATGCATGGTTGTGTGTACCCATGATAACAGTCCTGCCATGTGCTAAACACAGTGACTGTTTGAAGAAGGACTTGGCTCGCTGAAGGAAGTAATATTGGAGATGGATCCAAAGTAGTGAAAAGGCATTCTACACAAAGTAGTGTGAGCTGCGAAAGAAAGTTGCATTGAGTTCCTTGGTGGCCTGTGACTTCTTTAGGGTGATTTATGGAGGAGAATGGAGGACAGGCCTGGAAGGATAAATTAGGGCAAGTCATAGTGCTTGAATGCTCAATTAAGCTGTTTGGACTTGTTTTTGAACAGAGAAAGTGACAGCATTGTAATTCTTTTGGAGAAGTAACCTGGCATTAATGAAAATAGGAACAAGTATGCTGGAATAGCACTGCGGAGAAAGATTTGTAATACTATGACATGTTATAAACAAGCATGGTCGTGTCAAGGCAGAAGGCTTTGTTTTGTTTTTGAAAATCAATTCTAGGTCATGTACTTACTGAGTTGATGAAAACCATAGCTGCTTTTTTTTTTTTTTTGGAAATACACACTATCCGGTTACACCCAATTTTACATAATACTTCTCAGGAACCTTCAAGTCAAGAATCTGTTGTCAAAGAGAAAGGCTGGAGCTAATGAGGAACTCACCTGGTAGAACTTGGATTAGCTCCAGGCCACAAGAAACCAATTCAGTCAGCCAAAATGCATGTGAAGCTCAGATAACAGTAGTTGCCATTGACTAAGCACTTGATGTGTGAGACGTTATTGTACTCACTTTGCATATTTTCTCGTTTATTCCTCATGGCAACCCAGTGAGGAATATACTGCCATTATCCTCATTCTGTGGGTAAAGAAACATGAAGAGAGAGCTCAAGTAATCTGTCCATGGTTATAAACTGGCAGTTACCAGAACTTAGATTCATGTTCAAACATTTGGATTCAGAATCCATGCTTTAATCAGTTAATTCACATTGTAAAATGCACTCAGAATAAAACCAGCACTTTTCCTACATATAGTTTAGCTATGTAGAATCCCAAGTCATAACCAGAAATTACTTCAGTTTATCTCAAGACATCCATGTAACAGAGATGGAAGTAAGCATGTATCCATATACTTAGAATGTCTTGGTTTAGCTCAGCAACACAAGCGCAAGGTCATGAGTTTGACCTTGTAACAAAACAAAACAAGCAAAAACCAAAACATCTTCTTTGACAACAGACCTTCATGGAAGCTGACTCATAATGAGGATTTATATAGCAAATGACACAATGTGGGCTCAGAACAAATGGAGTTAAAGGAAGTGAGTTTTTATTTGAGTCACGTGGATTGTCTGACACATCCTAAGAACATGAAAGGCCTTTTGGATTCAGTGCAAGAGTCCATCTTCAGAAATCTTTCGCCTTCTAATGCCTGAGCTGTCTTGTCCTGGGATCTAGAGCCTAAGCTACAACTCTTCCTGCATTTTATTCTAGCCCACTATAATTTCATGCTTTTTCTTTTGATTTATAAATACCTTTAATGTGATTAAAGATGTGTCTTAGTCACCTTCCTCTTTGCTACAAGAGGTAACCACAACCTAAAGGAGGAAGTGAGTTTACTTTGTCACAGGTTTTTTTTTTTTTTTTGCACTTTTTTTTTTGCTTCTTGCTTTTTATCGGTACCAGGGATCGAACTCATGACCGCCGCCTGCTTGCAAGGCAGGCGCTTATGCCACTGAGCTAAATCCCCAGCCCTATTTTGTCACAGTTTTTGAGAGGACTCAGTCCGTAGTTAGTGGACTGGCTGCACAGTAGAAAGTTACATAGCAGAGTGGCCTACCTGAGGACGACTGCTCACATCATGGCAGCCAGGAAGCAGAGTGAGTGAGAGAGAGAGAGAGAGAAGGGAGGAACCTGGAGGGAGATATACTCTTCTAGGTCACGTTCCCGTGACCTGCCTCTTTGACCAGGCTCTACCGTCTAACAGTACGTTCGGCTCTAAAGTTATCAGCAGACTAACCCACTGATAATGCGCCTGAGATCCGGTCACTTTCAGAGCGCCACTTCTAAACATGGGGCTTCACACCCCCTCATCACCTCAAATCGTTCAAATCACTTCTTTAAACCATTATGTATCCATCTTAGAGTTATATTTGTTGAGGCTGATGTCATTTCCTAATTCCACAGGTTTTCTACAGTTCTAGGGAAGTGAGATTTGCTGCTCTAATATGAGAATAACTTGCATTGTGTTTTGTTCAGCTGGGCAAGTGGGTGCTCAAGAGAGAACAGTCCATGCTGAAGCAGTACTTTTAAGTTTAAGGGTTGACTTCTAAAAGTGAGAGCTAAGAAAAGTAGTGAGGATGGGTCTTGGGCACAGCCTTTATGTTTAGGGAACAATGACAGAAGCGACCACTAAAAGGTCAGAGAGGAAGAGAATGGTAGAGCAGGCAAGGTCAGAAAAGCCAAAAAACAAATTTCAGCTTACGGTGCTGTGGGCTTTAATGAAAATGTTAGCTCACTTTTATGAAGTACTTGTGGTATGGTAAGCACTCTTCTAAGCTCGTTATAGAGAAATAATGTTTAATTTTTAATGAAATCATCCCTGTTTTTGTATATAGCAAGTTGAAGCAGAAAGAGCCCTAGTAACTTCTGCCCACAGTTAACAGAGCTTTCAGTTACCAGAGACCCTCCTTCCAGCACACTGTTGAGATCCTGGGTCTGTGCTCTCAGACACGAGGCCATAAGATTGTGAAAATGCTGCGAAGGCTGTAAATTAGCTAGAGGCACTGGCCTCGGGGGTTGTGGGACTGCTCACCTAAATAAGCTGTTTAGAGAGTGTGTGCATTCATTTACTAGTCTTTCTTGAGTGCCTTACTCTTTGTTAGATACTAGGTTAAGTGACTGAGATGAACTATACCAAAAGGAAGTTACCTTTGCAAATACTGAGGTTTTGGCATGTTCTCCCAAGGAGGTGTAATAACTTGGGGACGGATGTGTGGGAGAAAAAGCTTTTTACCAGTGGGCTTTGCTGCGTCTCTTAGGTTGAAAGCAGCTGTGCTAGGTGAGTGTTGGGTATAGGGACACAGAGGTGGAGTAGAGGTCCAGATAGGTCCCTGGAACCTAGACAGATTTTTAACCAAAAGAATTTTTTACAACTGTTTGTTAAAGTTTTAATAAAGCAAATATCTAAAGGCTTTAAGAGATACTTCTTTGTCTGAACACACATCTTTATCCTTCCCAAACTGTATAGCTGTAGAAGAGTAGATACACAGAATGTTGGCCAATAAAAACTTTCTCAAAAAAGTGTAAGCAAAATGCAGATAGTAACTAAAAGACTTGTCATAACATTTAAACGCTCTAATAATGGTAACAGCTGGCATTAGAGTAATTAACAAGGTACGAGGCAGTATTCCAAGTATGTTACATATATTAACCTACTTCATCTTCATAATTACCCTGTGAAGTAGGTAATTTTATTAGATCCATTTCACAGGTGTGGAAATAGAGGCCCTGGATGGATAGTCACCATCTTGCTCAAGATCACATGGCAGTTTGCCTGCAGAGACCTGGCTGTGCACCACCACTGCCATAGCCGCCTGTCTCTAGAGTGACTTGTAGTCTATAGTCCATGGCTTGCAAATGAAGGCTATCCAGAGCAAGAGGTGTTGGACATTTCAAAAGAATAGAGCCCCTCTTTTCTGCCATCTACTTCGTGCTTTTTGGTTTTTTTCACAAACGACATTTGTGATTTGAGATAATGTTTCTTTTTGGTCTTTGTTTTTAATTGGCGAAACATATATATGTAACATAGGTATGCTATAGTATGATATGATATACATATATGTATATAATATGTAATGATCAGATGAACATAAATGAAGTATCTTTCATTTCTTCCAGTTGGAAGTATTTAAAATCCTATTAGCTATTTTGAAATACATAGTTAGCTTTTGTCAATTG